TCTATATACAATATATTGAACTATTAAGAAAGTTATAATATAATTTTAATATTTACAACTAACATACTTTATGCTAAAACATTATTGATGAAAAGTATCATATATATAGTTCTTCAAAATAAACTTTCTATAATATTTCTTTATGTTACTTTTGTATTTTTTTAAGAAAGAATTAAAACTATTTATAGTTAAAAATGTGCTATAAATAATCCCATATACCATAATATCTTTTGCAATATTTAAAATTGACCTCAAAATCTTTAACCTTAAAGAATAAAAAATGAATTATGAAAGAATTTAATAAATTTGATATTAACAAAACATTATCAACAAAAAACTGAAAATCACTTGTGAAAAACTAAGCATCAAAAGATAATGTTTAATATAAGTTTAAATATAAAAATTAACAATTATTTGTTAATTAACCTACAAGCTATAAATATGTTTTTAAATTACAATATTTGCTCCAAGGGTAACAAAAGGTATGTGTATTTTGTTGATATCAAATTTATTAAATTATTACATAACTCATTTTTTTTTATTTTTTGAGGTTAAAGATATTATGGCACATGAAATTATATATAGTACATTTTTTGCTGTGGAAGTGTTTAATTCTATCTTGAAGAAAACTTAAAAAAATACATTGCAGAAAAATGTTAATAGTAAAGTGATTATATAGAAAGTTTATTTTAAAGAACTACATCTATATATATACACACACACACACACACACACACACACACATATACAAACTTATTTACACCTATATATATATATATTTCTGTGTGTGTATATGTGGTATTAAACTTGATTAAGTATAAATTTATATTTTATATAATTGTAAATAAGAGGCAAAATAGATATTTCATATTAATAAAAATAAAAAATAAACAAAAATATATATGTGAAGCTTGATGAGATCGATTAAGCTCAACGAGCTTTTGAGTTTTACATGTTAAGTTCAAGCTTAATTCGTCAAATAGGTCGAACTGTTTGAATTCGAGTTCAAACTTAGTCAATACAAGATCTATCTCGAATTTTGACTAAATAAGCTCGAGCTACTCGATTAATTTCGATTCGTTTACACCCCTAACCCCACCATCTTATAAGTTTTAGTTGTTAACATTGGTGTTGACATTAAATATGATAGTTATCAACCTCGGTATTGATAGATCATAAATGACTATTAATGAAGAAAATTCAAATTTAAAGCAATTGATAAATTAAAAGACAACAAAGTAATTTTTTTTTTAAACTCTTATCCTCCCTTTGTTGACTGGTAATTTAATGCAAGACTACCAATATAAGAAATATTATGTAAATCAATTCACCTACTGGAATGGTGGCAAGGAAGTTAATACTATAAGTGAAATAAAAAGGAAAAAGAAAAGAAATCTAGACAGCCCATTGACATAACGTGATAACCTTCTCGTTTCTATTTGCATTGAAGGAAAGGAAGGGAAACAAATGAATAGGTAACAAAAGGTTACCAATAGAAAAGAAGAGGAAATGCCACCAGAGGAAAGTGGCTTCCACTATTTTTCTTTTTTGGTTAAGTATAGAAAGAAAAGCAAGAATAAATTAGATTTGTTGTTCGGCTTAGGGAAGGAAAAGAAAGGAAAGGAAAGCGTCAGATTTTTTTAAAAATTTTTTAGCAGGAGAATGGTGGAACTTAAGAGGGGAGAAGGAGCAAGGGGAGTTTGAACGGAGGATCTCTAATTGTTGGGATCTCAACTTTAATCACTCAATAAAGGCCTCCTCAATGAGCATTAGTTACTAGATTGAACTTAAAAAAAATAAAACGGAGAATTGGAGAAATGTGAATACAATGAAGTTGTGTATAATATATTGGATTAATCTTATATATACTGTCAGTGTATACACTATCACAATTAGATATCTGACACATGTATACAATTTGAATTTAAAATTTAAAATTTGTTCATGTGTCATGCATCTAACCGTGATAGTATATACACTGACAGTGTATATAAAAATTATTCTAATATATTAGTTGGAGAAGTTTAAATGGCATAGGTTCATAATCAATTTATAGCTATGTGGATAAGATTGATATGTTTTCTTTTTTTTTTTAATCTCTGCGTTTGAACTATTTTATCCTTTTTAATAGGAGTACTAAAGAAAATATTTAGAAATCCAACAAAATTGAGTGCAAAATAGGTTCAAATTCAAACTAACAAATATTTAAAAAATTAAGATAAAATAAGAGCAAAATTGAAAAAGAACAAAATGCCAACACAAATACGTGACCGTCATTATCCGACTAAGAAACTCGGTGAAGTCATGGTCATATAAATCCAACTGGGTCCATCTACCATTAACCCCTATACGGACAAGATTTTCATGCCAACCGTACCCTTCCATCTGCCAACAATCACAACAGTGCCCTTCCATGTACCAATAATCACAACAGCGCCACTGATGCTTACTTCTTACTTCCTCTGCATGCAGACAGCCGCTCTGTCCTCTCCCGATAAACTCTCCCCTTCCTCGTTGCTGTCACCATCAATCGCTCCCAAATTTCAGTGCGTGATTGTGTGTGAGCTCTTCCGTCGTCTTTTCGATCATTTTCAGGTACAATGCTTTGGTCTTCACTTCGCAAAATTTCAACTTTTTACTGTTGCTAGTAATTCATTAGAGCTCTGTTGTTGGAGTGGGTGAGGAAAGATGGGATTTTTTTGGATTGTTCTTTTGGCTGTGTGAGTGAAATATGAAATTCTTCGAACTAGCGAATTCTTTTGTTGTTTTCTTTAGTTTGGAATGAGTAATCATAGTTCTGCATTGCTGAATTGTTTGATGTTGCGTTTATGCTATCAAGGCTGCCTAGATGATTGATATAATTGGGGATTTTTCTGCCTTTTTTTTTTTGCCTTTAGCGTTTGCTTTTTCGGATTTTGATTTTTTCCAGCAGTTAAATTTGTGCATGCTTGTGAATTATGTGCAAATGTATAAGTGCATGTGTAAAATTATCTTTTTTTTATCTTTAATTTTGTTTTTCTATGTCTATTTTAGATACAAATGTTTTTACGTGTGCGTGTGTATGAAAGATGGTGGGAGTTTTTTGCCATGTATTCTTATCATATGTGTGGGTATCAATTATCAAAGATGGTTGGGTCCTTGGAAAAATGTAAATGTGTGCTTCTGTTCTTGCATTAGAGATGGTGGTGAGGCTATTGGCACATCTTATTATATGGAGAGAGTGTGTGTGTGGGCTTGGAAGATTGCTGAGTTCTTGAAGAGATACAAGTGTATGTCTCTCTACTTGTAATTAAATAGGTGACAAAATTTTTAAATATGCATATTTGTAATGTGTCTGCACATGCGCGCATGTTTATGTGCTTCAGAGATGGTGGAGAATTTTCGCATATATATTGGCAATGCATATGCAAGAAGATGTATCATATGCATATAATGTATCACTTGTGTGCGCACCTTTATACTTGCTACAAATGAATTAACTTATCTGGCTTAAATTATTCAATTTTCTGATATTTTAGGGATGAGATTTGTTATAAAAAAATTAGATCGGGGTAATATTGATTTCAAATGTGGGGATGCTTCAATTGACTGTCAAATTTTTCCACTCATCCATGGCCTTATTCTAGTAAAAGTCAAACAAATTTCTTTCTTATTTCTGTTGATATTCTTCTGGTATCTTTTGTCATGTAACTGTTGTCATCTTTTCTTATTTTTTGTTTCTAATTTTTGCATCCTTAATAGACAAAGGTCTAGTTAGAGCATTTGCTGTGGCTATGGATGAATTAGTTCTTCTTTTGTACGATTTGTCTGTTTTCCTCTTTTTTGTGTAATTCCCGTCTATTCTTGTTAAGGGAATGATTTTTCTAATGACAGCCGCCTTATTTGAGTATTTATGTACATGTCTTCTTTGTTCCCTTATACAATGCTACATGTACGTAACATATTTACCATTCAATCTAATGTGAAAAAAGTTGAAAGCTGATGCGCAAAAGTCAATTTCATTTGCCAAGTTTTAATATTTCATCTTTGCGTATGCAATCCAGTATTGAGCTCGCTAATTAGATTCTTAAGGAGAATAATTTTGGGATGGTTCATAGGCCAAAATTCCTGATGGAACAAGTCTGGGGAAAGTGTATAACTTACAAGGATCTTCTTCCCTAATGCTACAGAGCAATGGTACCATTGGGGCGCGTAGACACTTCTTGCAGTTGATCAACACCTTCTCCGTTACTGTTAACAACTCATCCATTTTGTTCCCCATATCCTTTCTTGCTAGATGATATTTCTGCCTAAATATTCAGTATTTGTTTTAAACATATGGGAATTAGAGGTGTTCTTCAATTAGTAGCTCTTCCAATTACAGTAAGGTACTACTAGTTTCCATTTAGTACTGAATGAAAAAGTTGAAATGATACCTGGGGAATTCATTCCAGTAAACTAATATGTAAGATGGAGGAAATGAAAGCTATGTTCAGAAGTAAACAGGTCACCAAATCTAAGATGCTGTTGTTTCACATGATTTCTTCTGGAGCTTCAACACTGTATGCAACTGAAAAAAACATTCAAACACAAAAACAAAAGAAGCATTCTAGAAAACTGAAACTCCTAACATGCTACATAAACCAGGACATACTGCTGGATTTAGACAACTTTATTCCAACTTTTAGCTGTGAGACCTGCTTTTGTTTTATCTTTGCTGTTTTCAGAAGATAACTTGAGGTTGCTCACCATATCTGAATATTTGGATGAGACTTGCCTTACATATCTATTGTTTCCAAACTGCTGCATGAGATGGTAAACTAGCCCTCACGACCCAGAGGACAAAGCTTTTCTCAGTATATGCTGAGTATCATAATTAATGGTGGAAACACTATAAGAGAATTCATGAAATGACTGCAATGTTTCAGAAATATTCCATCTAGAAGAACTCAGAATGAGACAATGGAAAGCATGAAAGTTTGCTTTTAACCAAAGACTCAGTTTTAGATTAGACTCTCCAACTGTGAAAATTAGACAGGAGGGGAATGCCGGCCAATGACTTGGATGTATAATCTTCATGCTATCAAGGTATTATATAATCTGCATGCTAGCAGGATCACTGTTGCGTGGGATGAACTATCTTGTCCTAAGTTAATGCTGAGATGGCTTTTTAATCATCTTTCTTCTTTGAAAAATCTGGATGTGTATACTACTGATATTTCTTTATTTACAGATTCAACAACAGATATCTGTTGGAAACATTTTCTCTGTATCACCAAAATATTTTATCATCATATTTTCGTACTCATATTGCAGGTCGAAATTGACTAAGACTATGGATTCTTCTCTCTGGGATCCACCAATTTGTGAAGGTTGCTCTGCCTTGTTATTTTTTTAGCTAAATGATTCAAGTTACTACTGGTGGTTGTTTAGACTGAAAAAATTACTGGAACTCTGTATAGATTCGAATTTTGCAAGATGGAAATTTTCTATTTCACTAAAGCTGACTTCTTATTTTTGTTTGTGTAATTTTTGGTTACAGATGACAGTGCTGATTTTAAAGGAAATTGGCAGTCTGATTTCTCCTCTGGTGTGGGGTGCGGTAAGTTTATCCCCTTTACAATGTTTGCTAATCAGTTTCTTTAGGGACTTTTTTTAGACTGACTTAAGGTCCCCTCTTTTCCATTATATGTGTGTCATAGATGTCATGGAAGAAGATGCTATAAATGAAAGGTGTTGTATCGAAGTGCTGAAAAAATTGATACCTAAGGCTGATGCCGAGATAAAGGAACTTGAGGAAGAAATTATATTTCTTCAGGCCCAAGTGGCTTTGGAAGATGATGCTTGGGCTAAGATATGCTTTGATACTTTGACAGAGAGGACCAAGGCGCTAGATATCTCGATTCAGAGATTGAAGAATGAAAAAGTGCAACAGCAACAAGGACAGGCGTCTAGTTCCCAAACACATGGAGATCCTGCTCAGAATGAAAAACAACAAACAGAAAATGAACTAAACTTTTGTTTCCAAACAGATGGAGATCCTGCTCAGAATAAAAAACAACAAACAGAAGATGAATTGGATGTTTGTTTTCAAACAGATGGAGATCCTGCGAAAATTGAAAGCCTACAAACAGAGAAGGACCTTGATTCTCACATCCAAACATGTAAGGAACCTTCTCAGAACCAAAAAATACAATTGGAACATGAGATGCGTGTTCTTTGCCAAACACATCTAGAACCTGCTCAGATTGAAAACCTGCAAGCGGAACATGAGCGGGATTTTAATTTCCAAACAAATGGAGATCCTGGTCAGGATGAAACACTACAAATGGAACATGAAATGGGTGTCCCTCACCACAAACATGGAGAACCTGCTCCGAAACTGAGTGAAATACTAAAAGCTCTTCTGGAAAAGTACTACTTTCCAAACAGAGATAAGCAGGTTTGTGTAATACCTCAATTTTATTCTGTTGCTCTGCTGCCCCACTAAGCAAGTTGGCATGGTTAATTGATTAGACATAGTTTTTCATATTACCCTCTACTATCCCCTGGTTTTTCTTGTTTGTAAATAAGTGCAATAGTTGATGTGAAGTGAAGCGGCTGAAAACCTGTTCTGGATTATTTCTGGTCATGTCACTTTTCAGAATATGTATAAATTTCCTATCCAATACCTGAAGATATTTGAGACCTTAGCTGCTAAATGCTTCCTACCATGTTCACTGGTATTAAGCATCTCAAAAGCCAGATAGATGTATGACTGAAAGAGTATTATCGGGTGAGGTATTTGAGAACTTATTCAAAGTAACTTTCAGGGAAAGAAAACCTTTTCTTTTGCTCTAGGACCAATCAACATTTTTTTAAGAAGTAAGGAAGTAAAACAGCTTCATCGATTACATGAATTAGATCAGGTGAACAAATCACTTTTCGCTTCCTCTTGTTCATCACGTTTTCTGGGGAATAATGGTATGGGCTATTGCGGATTTAAATTATAATCATGACTTTGCATGCCAACGTGATGTACGCTAGTTGAATTGTAGTTTGTTCTTTTAATTTAACATCTTCTGCACTATTTGTATATGGTATTGCTGGCAAATGTGATGTCAAATACACCATCTTTGCCAATATGTATCACTGGACATTTGATGTCGACTTGGTGCTTGGAATTTGTTGTGTGTATTATTTGTTTCTTTTGAGACCTCATTCAAGTAACAATCACTTTTCGCTTCCTCTTGTGAGAAGCTCACCGCTCTCCAGTCCACAGATGAGACCGGCTTGAGCAATGCTGAAGCAATAGCCTGTGTTGCTAAATCCTTGGAAGAGATTGCTGAACCTTTTAATCTGGAAGTTTCAGAGGATGCGGAAGAGAAAGACCAGGTAAAGACAACCTCTTTGCATTATTTTGCAGTTCCTAGCATGGCTGCCCTGCGAAATCTGTCAAGTGCTAGATTTGAATTCGCAATTCTAACTTGTGACTCGTGTAGACTACAAGATATCCTTTCTCTTTGTTACATTTTCATATTGGTTTTCTCCAAACAATGATCAGAATGGAGATACCACAATCATCAACTCATTCCCAAATCTTTCTGAACATGCAAGTGAAGCATCCACCAAGAGAAAAATGATGGAGATTGATTCAAGCGGAATACATGATTCAACGACCGAGGCAGAGAAGAGGATGTATACCCCAGACATTCAGAAGGTACCTACCAATCGGTCGTCAAATTAGGAATCAATTATTATAAATGTAAAAATTTTCTTTTGACTTTGCTAATCTCATACAACAAACAGGAAGCAACTGCTATGATGATGGATACCAGTGCGAATGCCTTGAGCTACATAGCTGGTTCAAGCAGTGGAACAGTGGGCTGCAATCTTTCTGAAGAAACAAGCGGGGCAGTCACAGTACAGAATTTCAGAATTGAAAGCACTAAGTTGAAGCCATCTCCAAATCCCGCCGAAACCACCATTACAGAAACTGATATGGTATGAGATGTTTCTTATGTACTCGAACTGATAAACAAGTTAGGCCTAATCATTTGTGAGACTCTTGGTTTCTGGTTTCTTTAGTTTGATGTAAGCATGTACTAAACCTTTTTTCAAGCTGAGGAGGCGACAGTAATGTATCCCTTTCGAGCACCCTCATATCGTTTAACTCACTGAGACGTGACTTATCAGTTGTACCTGTTATTATATTGTGAATAAACATATCTTATAATTACTATATTAATACTAATTCTTCTGAATTCTATTAGTTACTCTGCTTGAGAATTGAAATTCTCAGTGTAGGTCGAAATATCGATATATCACATTTAAATATCTAAACGAGGATGTAGAATATCTGCACCATTTGCAGAATGAAATTATGTGCGTTAATGTATTTTTTTCTTTATCTTTTCTTGATTTTTTTTTTGTCTATTGCTTTTGTATTCTGATTCAATAAAGAAATAATTTTTTTCCATAAAATTACTTGTTAAAATCCTAACCAATAAAGACTTTTGGCAAAAATGGGATTTTGGGTTTTCACAAATTTTTCCCCCTACAAAGTATGAGGAGGATTCAATATCTACATGGTAAATTTTCATTTCGGAGATGATTCTTATATGACTAAGAAACCGTGTTGCATCTTCTTTTCTTTTCTTCTTCTTTTTTTTTTTTCAGAGCATGTTCCAGCTTTCAGATATCACTTCAGTTTGCATGACAGATCCTGTAGAACGGAAGGTTAAAGAGGTTGATATAACCAACTCGAAAGAAGCCGAATTTCCCCTCCTAATGAAGCAAGAAGATTGGTGGCTTTTTGATTTCGAATGGGCACTTGGAGAATCATCTTCAGAGGTGTTCAATAGCACGACCAAAGAGCCATTGCTGAAGGAGAGACAGAAGCCACAACTGTTGAATCAAACACATCATATTGAAGGAGTTGGAGCAGAATCATTCACGTCAAACTCCTTGAAGTCAGGGATTCCCGAACACAGAGACAGGCCCTTCCCCATGTTTGAGTTGGGACTACTTCCAGAATCGTCCCTTGGTATGGAAATGGTACACAAACCCTCTACCATGAAAAGTTTCAAGAGGATCCTTGATGAGAATAATTCTATGAACAAAAAAATAAAAGAGGAGACTCATATAGACTTCAGCGGAGAGAAAAGTTGCCATGTTGTTTCGGCTTGTCAGTCACCAGGGACAAGGCAGAAATCTGTACTCCCCCCATTGATCAAGAAAGGTGAAGAGTTGGGCAATCTCCAAGTCACTCGGACGTTGCAAGAGGGAAGGCTGAAAGGTTTGGTCAAGGAGGAAATCGATCGGTTCTCCAACTTTCATGCAGCGAATGAATTTGGAGTTAAGAAGCCTCTCAAGTTACTCTCTTGTACAACATCCGTGGCCACAATGAATCTCGAGTTTCTGTCGATGGCTCAACTCAGAGCCATGGCAAAGGAACGCAACCTCAAAAGGTACTCTAAACTCAACAAAAGTGACTTGATCAAGCTTCTTAATTTCCCACCTTCAGCCATTTAATTTCCCTTGTGATTGCAAACATACTCAGTTACTATAGGAGTCGCACGTACTTATTTCTGCTTCGGTTTTTAGCCATTTTACATAAAATGCCATTATAAACTTTAAGAATGTGGAAGTGTGACTCATCTGGATAAAATTTTGATGATTTTTGGTACTCTGTTGGTTTCTTTTTGCCGTGGAGCTCGATATTTGACCGGGCCATAATGTTGCCGGTGATTTACTTGCTTGGATAACTGCATATGGATATTATTATTCACGACAGTGCATTCTTGATATAAGGATTCTGTGAAATTCCACACTTTCTGTGGTTATAATTCAACTGCACGCAGGAGGCAATTCAGCAGATTATGTGGTAGCAACACCCCCAACTGTTATCAGCAAATCTATTGAGTTGGCTTATGATAAGTAGTAGTTGCAAAAGCAACTCTTTTCGTGTTTGATAAATCACCAGCAGCTACAGAAAAACCAGAGGCATCACCTTTTTCTCTCAGACCGATCTTCTAAATTGTTTAGCAGTATCAGGGAAGTTACAAAGCCATTACCGTTTTCCCTCAAGGATTGATACATTCAGCACTTGCTCTCCTTTAGCTTTCAGAAAGTATCAATCTGATTCTGGGTGAATTCCATGTTACAGCTTAAAGACAAATTTACTGAATGAGGGTATTGTCAGGATTGGGAGTTTTCTACAGAGTGATGAATTGGGGGTTTACCTTATCATTTTGAAATCAAAGGCCAAAACAATCCGAGACTTGCCTCCATTTATTAGTCCAAACAGAGACCATTTGCAGGTACACAAATTTGAAGAAAGCTAAAAAATAAACCATTGGAGTTTATCTGCTGCTTTTGATCATGGTACACTTTCAGGTCGCAAAATGGTATATCATTCTTCCCTGCAAACAACAATAAAACACAAGAAATCAAACAAACAATTCTTAGAAAGAAAAATAAAACACAACAAAATTTAGAAAAAGGAAAGGGTAAAAAAAAAAAAAAAGCAGTTTTCAAGTTTTGGCACTTAAATATTTTCCTAATCTCTCAACCTATCCCCTATCTAGACTTATCCAAAACTAAGAAAAGTATTTCTCTTCAGAGGCAGAATCTAAAACTCGCCTTTCTGAAAGATTATGGGCATAGAATTTTTTTTGGGATATTTCTTTTTTGGTGGGAAGTTGGGGAGACAGAGAGAGAGGGAAAAAGAGAAGAGAATCTCCTTCTTCCTATTTCCAGCTTGTTACTTTTGACTGTCGTGTATTGTAAAGTTCTGGCATTCACTCATATCTCAGCACACACAACTCCAATTCAGGTAATTCCAAAGCCATTTGAAAGCTAAGATACAAGGCTAGAATTCTTAAGAAGACATCAACAACCAATTTGGTAATTTTCCTGGTCAATCTAACCAATTACATAAGCTGATTATCAGTTTCGGACAGAAACTGGGAAGCAGGGGTATTTAGGTCTTTTCATAGGGTACATTGCTCCGATTGAGTTGAAAATTTACAAGAAACTAGTTAACACCATTTTCTACAACTTTCATGTTTTAACCTAAGCCTGATTCGGCCTCTAACATGCTCAAATAAAACCGGACAGAAACAGGGTCATTCAAAACCCTAACCTGGAATTTCCATAATACTACTTCCAACCATGAAATATGCTCATAAACTACCAAAACTACAACTTTAAACCACTAATTAGCAATTAATTGAAGTAAAGAAGAGGTTCTTGGCAAAATACCTTATCTCCCTATGAAAGATGGTAGCTTAGGCTTTGTTTTCCAAAAATAACTCCACGAACACCTTGGAAACTACTTGGAAAGTAAGTTTTATGGAGTAGTTTGCAAATTAATCGGTTGAAACTCAAGATTTGAGCAAGAAATTGAAATGGAAGATGAAGAACTCTCTTGGTTTCTCTCTCACTAATTTCAGCCAAAGGAGACAAGAAAATGAATGACTTTTGGTCAAAAATCTGATTTTAGTAAAGTTACCAATCTTGGTTAAAAGTCCAACTTCTAATAGCATAGTGACACTTGGCTCCTTTTAGGGTTTTAAACTTATTCTTTTGTCTACCAATGGTAATTTATCTAGCTAACTTTCAATTGTCTCCTAGCACCTTGTAAAATAATAATATTTCACACAAAAATCACTTAATCACCAAAATTTTATCGCACAGCGGGTCCCACATCCATAATGCACTTCAAATTTAACCCGAACTAACTTATACTAGAAAAATGGTTGGAAAAACTATATTCACTTATAAAGTGTCCAGAAAATTAATGTAGTAAAATAAAATAAGGAAAATGCATGAAAAGAAATAGAATTAAATAGTATAAATTAAGAAAAATTTTACGGGCTCTCACAAAAGTTGTGACTAAGGGAACTGAATTGTTATCCTTCATCATCTTAGAAACTGATACTTTACCTGAAGTAGCTAACTGTAAATATTGCGGGGTGAAAAAAATCTATTTTAAAATTGCTAATTTTTGCTGCTCCAACGGAGAAGTAATGTTGAAAGAAAATAAGCTTCCAGATATATTGGTTGAATTATTTACGGGTCAAACCGAAGAAACTTTGTGTTTTAGGACATACGTAAGAACCTATAATGGCATGTTTGCCTTTACGTCATTTGGAGTCTACTATGACAAGTCATTATGTTAGAGAACAAATGGAATATACACATTTAAAATACAGGAACAAACTTATCATTACATAAATCAACTTATACCTCATGGAGGATCAGGGATGTTCTTACAACTATATTTTCTTGACACTGAACATGAGGAGGAGAATCGAATGGTATTTTTTGCAAAACTCAGCGAGAATGTGGTCTTAAAGCTTATTGAGGTGATGATAAACAATTCTTATGCTTGCTTCTTTCATAGCCTACGACATGTCCCTAATCTAGAATCCCATCAAATAGTTCTCAAAACTCATTGTGATAGTGATCAAAGAATTTTTAACAAGTCAACTGTATCTCAAGTGGTAGTGCTTTGGGTTGAGGGTGAAGGTTCAAAACAAACATATTCTAGGCATATTCAAGTGTACACTAAAGGTTTAGAAAGCCGTAGAGTTCAATACTATTATGGTTGTTATGATCCTTTGCAGTATCCATTATTATTTCCCCTAGGTGAAATAGGGTGGCAACCAAGAATTAAGAGATCAAGGATTGGGAATCCAAAAAAGTGAAAGAGATGTACTAAACATTTTGTAGATAATGTAACTTTACACAGTTTCAGATCTACCGATGAAATGATACAATCCAAGGAATAAGGTCAATATAACAGACAAGACAAAAGTTTTTATCTACAAATGTTATGTTTCAGGCAATTAACCAAATAAAATTTCTATTTTTTTATGAAACAGCTTTCAACCAATATGAAGACTTAAAAGAATTTATGTCGATGAGGGAATATTATGCATATAGGTTTTAGATGAGAAAACAAAATACACCTGGTATTTTGAACACTGCGCATGCATTCCAACTGTATGTAGTTGATATGTACGTGAAAATAGAAACACAAAGACTTGACTTCAATAGAAAGAGACAGAAATTAATAAGAACTAAACAACTCCAAGGAGTAATGGATGCTATTGTTGAAGGTGAGCTTAAGGGGTCGAAAGTTGGTTAGCGGGTGATTTTACCCGCTTCATTTATAGGAGGGTCTTGAGATATGAAAAGACGTTATGTTCATGCCATAAGTTTGGTACAAAAGTATGGGGAGCTTGATCTCTTTTTGACAATGACTTGTGGACGCTTTGTTGCAGACCCGAGAAACGATCAACGCTCTAACCGTGCAAATGGAGGAAACCCGGGCTAAGATCTCTTCCGTTGGGGATGTTGAATCGTTGAGGAATGAAGTGGCTTCGTCCCGTGCTGAGATCACGACTTTGCAGTCGGAGATCGGTGTGTTGAAGAAGGAGGTTGGCTCTTCCAACACACAGACCGTTCAGAAATCTTCGAGAGGGAAAGTGAAAGTCCCAGAATCGAAACCGTATCAGGGGAGTAGGAGTTCGAAGGATTTGGAAAACTTCTTGTGGGATGTTGAACAGTACTTCAAGGCTGTTGACGTTCCAGAAGTAGAGAAGGTGTCCATTGCATCCATGTACCTTAGCGGGGATGCAAAATTGTGGTGGAGAACGATGCAATCAGACCCCACCAGGCCCAAGATTGAGACTTGAGACGTGCTAAAGGAGGAATTGAAGAAACAATTCCTTCCCACGAATGTCTCGTGGAAAGTTCGGGATGCGTTGTGGAACTTGAAGCAGAACAAAAGCGTACATGAGTACGTCACTGAGTTCCAAGCCCTGATATTGGATGTGAAGAAGATGTCTGAGGAGGACAGACTCTACACTTTCATCCGTGGACTGCAGCCGTGGGCGTAGATGGAGTGACGGAGACAGAATGTTCAGACCGTGTCTCAAGCACTCGCTGCCGCAGAGAAATTGATAGACTTCAAGTCCATGGAATCCAACGACAAGAAGAAGGAGAAGGGCAAGGACCTGAAAGGTGGATCGTTCGCGAAGAAGAAGAAAAAAAAGCAGTCAGTAACAACAAACGAAACCGGTGGTGCTTCTTCTTCTAAGGAAAAGCCAGCGGCAAATTCGAAGAAGGATGGCTGCTTTAATTGCTGAGGACCACACTTAGCCCGCAATTGTCCCAACAAGAAGAAGGACCAGAATATTAGTACCTTGGTAGCGGAAGATGATGGCGATCTGTTAGAGATGCGGGACGCACGGGTCAACCCCATGCAGTTCGTGAACGCCATCACAGGTACTAATGGTCGTACTACTTACAATAGTTTGATGTATGTGCAGGTTACGTTGAATGGAAACCAGATACTAGCGATGGTGGATACCGGAGCATCGCACAGTTGCGTGACGGAACGCGTGGTAAAGCAGTTCCGGTTGAAATTGAAAGACTTAGGCTACAAGTTGAAGGCTGTCAACTCTGAAGCCAAGCCAGTGTTGGGTGTAGTAACGGTAGAGTGGGAGTTGGGGCCGTGGAAGGGATGGTGCAGCCTCATGGCCAGTCAGATGGATGACTTTGACTTGATCCTTGG